TCTCACTCTCTCTCTCCCTCTCATAAATAAATAAAGAAGATTGATATAATACCAAGCATCTTCTCAGATCACAATGGTGTGAAGTTAGAAATCAAGTACAATTGAAAAAACAACCTCAAAAACACTCAAATACAGGGAGGCTAAATAACATGTTATTAAACAATGAAATGGGTTACCAATGAGATCAAGCAAGAAATTTAAAACTTCCTGAAAACAAATGAAAATTAACACACAACCACCCAAAACTTATGCGACACGGCAAAAATAGTCCTGGAAGGAAGTTCATAGCATTACAGGCCTACCTCAAGAAACAAGAAAAAGGACTAATAACTATCTAACACTAAGACTAAATAAATTAGAAAGAGAACAGCAAGAAAAGCCCAGAGGAAGTAGAAGGAAGGAAATAATTAAGATCAGAGGAGAAATAAATGACATAAAGACAAAAAACAAGTACAAAAGATCAATAAATCCAAGAGCTGGTTCTTTGAAAAGATAAACAAAATTGATGAACTTTTGGCCAGACTCATCAAGAAACAAAGAGAGAGCCCTAACCGGTTTGGCTCAGTGGATAGAGCGTGGGCCTGCGGACTAAAGGGTCCCAGGTTCGATTTCAGTCAAGGGCATGTACCTTGATTGCGGGCACATTCCCAGTAGGAGGTGTGCAGGAGGCAGCTGATCGATGTTTCTAACTCTCTATCCCTCTCTTCCTCTCTGTAAAAAATCAATAAAATATGTGGGTTTTTTTTTTTAAAAAAAGAAACAAAGAGAGAGGACCCAAGCAAATAAAATTAGAGATGAAAAGAGGTGATGTAACAACAGACACCAAATAAATATAAAAGATTGTAAGCAAATACTATGAACAACTATAAGCCAACAAACCTGACAGCCTGGGTGAAATGGACAAATTCCTAGAAAGATACAATCTTCCAAAACTCAATCAGAAAGAATCAGAAAACCTGAGTAGGTCAATAACAACTGATGAAATTGAAGCAGTAATTAAAAAATTTTCAGCAAACAAAAGTCCTGGACTGGATGAATTTACAGGTGAATTTTACCAAACATTCAAAGAAAGAATTAACACCTTTCCTCCTCAAACTATTGCAAAAAATTCAAGAGGAAGGACCACTTCCAAGCTCTTTGTACAAAGCCAGCATTATCCT